AACTAGTTTCGGCCTGCCCCAGTCCATCGTCACCGACAATGGACCTCAGTTCGCCGGCAGGAAATTCCAGGAGTTTTGCGCCAAGCACAAAATTTAGCTGAGGTTCTGCTCGGTGGCTTACCCCCAGGCGAACGGGCTAGCTGAAGTAACCAACCGGTCCATCGTCGACGGACTCAAGAGAAGGGTATCCGCTACCCGATCGGCTTGGATCGACGAGCTCCCGAGCGTCCTGTGGGCGCTTCGCACTACCCCCAAGACCCCGACCGGGGAGTCTCCCTATAGCCTCGCGTTCGGGACCGAGGCCGTGTTGCCACCCGAGGTAGCCGTCCCGACTCCGCGGACGGCAGACTACAACGAAGAAGCCTCGGGCGAAGGGCTCCGATCAAACCTGGACCTGCTCGAGGAAAGACGGGCCGACGCACACCAGAAAACCCTTTCTTACAAAAGAGCCGTAGCGAGGGTCTACAACCGGAGCGTGCGACCCCGATCGATAAGGTTAGAGGACTTGGTCCTGCGCAAAATCGAGGTCAGCCACCCCACCCAAGTAAGGGGGAAACTGGCCCCAAAGTGGGAGGGACCCTATCGGGTCATCGGAGTATCCCGACCGGGGACGTTCCGACTCGCAACAATGGATGGCGACCCCGTGCCCCGGACTTGGAACATACAAAACCTTAGGAAATATTTTGTCTGAAGACATAGACACTGCGCAAACACAGAAATCGGAAGAAAAGATCATCTTATTAAGAAGGAGGGGATACAGAAGCCAAAACCCATACAGAAACCCCTCACACCCTCGACCCCGACATACAAAAACGACCCTCACAACTCTCCCGGAGTCTTCGGGCGGTCGTCGAACGGCACGTCCTCCGACATGTCCACCTCCAGATCCACGGGGTGAGAGGCGAACGGATCCCTTTCCACCTCGGAGCCGGGAGGGCACGAGCCGAAGCGACCCAGGGCGATTCTGTATCCGTATTCGTAGGATACTCGTCCCATTCGGATCAGTCCGAGCTCAAAGTTCTCGGACTTCTTGTAGGCTTCGATCGCCTCCTTGTCCTTTGACGGGCGAAGGCGAACCTCCTCAGCCAGCGCCTCGGAAGCAGCGCGGGCTTCAGCCTCGGCCTCCTCCGCCCTCTTGGAGAGACCAAGCGCCTCTGACTTCGACAGGCGGACCTCGGCCCAAGCCAAACGGAGGAACTCCTGGAGCTCCTTGACTGAATCGCCCGACCGCTCGAGCTCTGCTCGTAGGCGCGCCACCTCTTCCTCGGAATCGGTCGCGCGTTTTTCCGCAGCCGCTACCGCCTCGGGGCCCGACCCAGCCCGAACCTCCTCTAGCTGGCGGCACAACTCAGAGTTGCGCTCGCTGAAGTCCCAGATTATCTGGCCAGCATCGCGCACTCGGTCCATCAG